AATCTATCCGAGATGCTGTTTTGAATGTGCGATAACTTTTTAACCGTAGCTCGGATTGCTACGATTCTGGACATTTTAGAAAGCTTATATGTAGCTCTAAACCTGAACTTTAGACACTTTTTAGAAATAAGGCTTCTAAGTTGGTTATATTTGCGTCTAAAAACTGATAAAAAGTTGATTTTGAGCTGTGAATTATAGTAACTAAAATGAGTTTAAATTAAGTTTGGTTAAGTTATTGTTGTCAGATCTTTATGAAACTTTGGATATGTATTACAGGTGTTAAATAAGACCACCTGGTTCTTCCAGAGTAACCGTTGGACGACGTTTAGACATATATGGACGTAGAGCCTAATGTGGCTCTATTTTTGAATATCGACTCAAACCAAACTGCATTTGCAAGCACATGCTGTGCAAATAAAGTTGTTTTGGGTGCAATCATCACTTTGGTCCAACTTTATCAAGGAGACATTATGCAGAAAAACAAAGAGAAAACAAAAGATTGTTATGCAGAAAATGATATTTGTGTCTATGAAAGCCGACTGCAACGCTCCAAGTAAAGACCGTTATGTAGAAAAACAAAGAGAAAACAAAAGAAGTAGATATGCAGATCACTCAGTACCGTATAGATGGATTTCCAGAAGTCAAGAGGTTCAATGAACAAAAAGGCATGATTTACCTTGAAAATTGGTTGTCTGAAGTCTGGACTGTGCAATCAAACTTAAGGCCTGTGCAATCAAACTCAGTCAACAAATTGTAATTAGCAAATAGTGAACTTTTAGGAGAAAAACARGCATTATGCAGCGTTTACAAAGAGTTAGATTAGCTCAAAGAATGGTAATATGTATCTTCTCCCCTAGTTCTTACTGTCATTTCTATAGCTCCTTACTTCAAGATAAGGTTTGACTTTGAGCTCACCAATAAGGAATTAAACATGGAGATGGTTGTTCATGTTATGAACTTAGAAAGCTTCCGAGAAAAGAGAAGAGTATATTTCTGTTATGGATCAAGATGAGGATACTATGCAAACAACAAATACATATGCTCACACAACAAATTAATGATGTATACTATGCAAACAACACATTGATGATGTATTATGAAAAAAAGGCTTCATCACACATATATGCAAGTTTATACACTCTATAAATATATGTACAAATACATATGCACACACACATCAAGATGAGTATATATATACCATTTTTTGTTGTTGACATTTAACACAACACAGCAACACACACACACACAACAGAGACAGATCAACAGATCAACAACATAAACAGATTAACATCAAGTCTAGCAGCTATTTATCTATTTGAAGTACAATACACACACACACAAAACACTCTGATGTTGACATTTAACTGCTGTTGTTGACATTTCAAGTGGAACAACAGGTAGAAATTTGGTAGCCATAAATTTAGTTTCATACAAGTGTTTATTGACTATTGATAGATAGAACAATGTGATGGTGTGGTCATCATAGATAGAACAATGTGTTGGTGTGGTTTTTGAAAATTATTTTGATTGTAGCTGTCTTTCACATCAGGAACGCCTAATGGATTTGATACACAAATTTTCAACAGCAAAAACAGGATACATATGATACACAAATTTCAATGCTATAAACAACCTGTTAATATGATATATATATATATATGTACATATAGTAATAGTATGCATATATGTGTGATATGTTGACAGAAGCATGATAAAACATGTAAAAAGAATGAACAAAACAGTGGGAAAAAAAACAAGAATGCAAGGTGTTTTAATGTACAAAGATCATACATA